TTAGTGATGGGCATAATCGAGTGAACATAATCGAGTTACTCGATTGTTGATAATAATCGAGATATCTCGATTATTAAAATAATAATCGATTATGTAACCGAGTGATTTTTCACTCGAACTATAGTAACTCGAGTACTCGTTACTCGACTACTGAGGTACCTTATTCGAAACTTTATTTTTAGAATCCTAAGTTCAAAACTCCGAACAGGGTAAACGGTAAAAACTAAAGAATTGAATGAATAATATTTTATATTAGTCATTACTTAATATTTATATTTTAATCATGGTGCACTATGTTATTATTATTGTTGTGTACGGTGTACGTTATTGCATAGGAATACCTGCTTTCAGCGTCTCATATCAAGTAAAAATGACTTAAACTGCAATAAATTCCGCGTATTGGCGATAAAGTAGCCTGATATCTTTAGATATGATACCTGTTTGTTATCTAGCGGTATAACAATAAACTTTGAATCCGTATACATTTTACTGAATATGCGGCATAGAGTGCCGTCGTGCGGGTGCCCGAGGGTTAATATCCGTTTAAATAAATATTCTTTCATTTTGTACTCGCTAGCACGCGTTAACAGTCGACACTGTTCACTAACTGTTCATCAGTCTTTAGTTCTTTACCTATTTATTAAAAATTATTTATTTTTAAAATTTAAAAATGAGACCGGGTAGTAAACAACGTTCAATAGTATGGGAACATTTTAAAAAAAATTCCGACGGAAAAATTGTTATTTGCCAGGTGTGTAAAAAAGAGTTTAAACATTATGGGAATACAACTAATTTAAAGGGTATTATTACTATTATTTTACATTTTATTTTAAACTATTAAGACAAATCCATACATATTATGCAGCTTTGGTTGACCAGTATGATACGTGGTCTAATTATTATTTAAATATTATTATTAATTGTTTTATTATTTTCTATACTATTTATTACTTGTTAATTTTATTTCAAGTTTATTTTGGTGATAAAGCGGTGAATGTGTGGATTGGTTTATATAAATATTAATACAAAATTATATAATAATATTAATATTAATATTAGTCCACGTTTAAAAAATTAAAAATAGAGCATTTAAAACGAGTACACCCAAAAACACTTAATCCAATTGGAACTAATAACGACGATCCGGATAATCAATTACAAGATGCTCAAAATATATCTAAATCATCTACTTCTGCAAATACCTCTTTATTGCCATATCAAACTACTACTTCTTCACAGTGTTCTGAGCCACCTTCTAAACGATCTCGTCAACTTACACTTTATGGTTCAAAAAAAACTATTGGATTAACAGAAATGGAAACCAATGAAATTAATAAGTCTTTAATTAAAATGATAGTTTTTGATTATCAGCCACTCTCGATAGTAGAGAACGCTGGATTCTTAGAGTATACTAAAAAGTTACAACCTCTATATTCTGTCCCCAGTAGAAAACAACTTACAACCAAATTATTACCACAAGAATATGATATTATATACTCCAAATTAAAATCTATGCTTGGAACAGTAGCTGATTTATCTATCACTACCGATATGTGGACATCGGATTGTAATAAATCGTATATTACTGTGACTTGTCATTTTATATTTGACCATCACTTATATTCACCAGTACTTGCTACTCGGGAAGTTTTTGACAGTCATACTGGTATTAATATAGCATCTACTCTGAAAAATATTTTTAATGAATGGGGCATAGCAGATGAAATAGTAACTATCGTATCTGACAATGGGTCCAGCATAAAAAATGCTATAAACGAACATCTGCTCAAATATCATCATCCGTGCGTAGCACATACATTAAATTTAAGTATTAATGAGGCAATAAATGGAAATCTAGATATTATTCAAATTTTGAAAAAATGTAGGACCATAGTAGGTCACTTTAAACACAGCTCTTATGCTAATGGTAAACTTAGAGAATTTCAATTACAAATGAACCTACCTATATTAAAAGTGAAACAAGATGTTGTAACTCGATGGAATTCGAGTTTGATAATGATTGAAAGACTACTTGACATTAAAAATCCACTATCCGCTACCATGTCATCTCTTCCTCGAGCACCTAATTGTTTAAATGCGTGTGAATGGGAAATATTATTAGATTGCATTCATATTTTAAAACCGTTTGAGATTATGACTGCTGAGTTATCGGGAGAAAATTACATAACTATTTCTTCTATTATACCGTTAATTAGAGGCTTACAACATATAATAAAAAGTGTACAAATAAAAAATACTATAGGCGAAGCATTTAAAACTACCTTAATAGATGTAGACAATCGGCGATTGGGGCATTTAGAAAAGAATAAGATTGTTGCAAAAGCAACATTTTTGGATCCTAGATTTAAAAAAACTGCTTTTGGATTACTCGAAAATGCTAATAATGTACAAAAATGGATATCAGACGAACTAACACCGATGATAATATGTGCAAATAACGATATTTATAATACTGAAGTAAATAAAATTCAGTCTACAACAACAGCATCAACTTCTGATACAAGTAATTCAATTTGGGATCATTTTGATAATAAAGTTTCACAAGTTCAATCTTCGTCGAGTCCATCTACAACTTCAACTTTGATTATTCGCCAATATTTAGAAATGCCACTGTTGGATAGGAAAAAAAAATCCATTACATTTCTGGAAGCAGCATAAAAATACCTTTCCAGAGTTATATAAAATGCAACTGAAGTATTTATGTATACCGGCTACATCAGTTCCTTCGGAACGAGTATTTTCAAAAACGGGGCAAATAACTAACNATTCACAACACTTGTAATAGTTGTATTGAATAACTATAGCTTATAGTATAATCATTATTATTCAATTTTTTATTTGTCATACAAGCTTGCAGGACGCCATGCCTTCCAGTGGCCTTATAATACACACAAGTAATACAATATTGGACTTACGGGATGTTGTGTCCATGCCAAACATTATCAATCAAATAATTCATCATAACATGTTGAGCTACATTAATTTTTTTATATGTATTATTACAACTGACCAAATGTATAAATACACCTAACCTAACCAAACACATCAATACATTAACATAAAACCATCAATTTGTGCAATTTGATTGTAAACATTGTATACAATATGAGTAAATACAATTCATCATAATGTTGAAAATGGATAACCAATTTATTGGTATCACGTTGAATTAGCTCGTTTATTTTGCTCATATAAAAGCTCATTATTATTTTTTACTTCTCTCATAAAGTTGAATTTATGTACCAATAATACTTTGTAGTTCAACCTCAAGACTTAAAAGTTATAAATATAATCCATCAAAAACCATAGATACGTATAAGTATTTATCAAATAAGATAATATTGTAGTCAACAATCTCAGAAAATATTATAAAATTAAATTGTAGCAAACTTAAGATATTTAGAGACATATATGAGTATGGGCCAACAATAAATTCATGATTAAAAATAAAATTAGCCACCTATTCAAGCTAAATGCTCTTGCAGCCATTGATGATACTACTAAAACACTATTATTTAATAACTGATAACCAGTGGTGTAGTGGAGGGTATACACGATTATACGGCGTATATACCCAAAACGCTAAAATGCTTTAATGCTTATAGGAAAGAAAATAAAACAAATAAGCGGATATACATTTGTAGCCTTTTGGATGATAACCATACTACCACAATTTATTAATAATAAACATATAATTTGAAAATTTCTGATTTTTTTTATTCTCATCACTCCGAGAAAATTGGGGTTTCAAAATACTGAATAATTAATCATGATTAACTTTAAAACGATAAGAAATAGGAAAAATTATAATTGTCTAAGGATGTAGAACATATTTTAGAAGTAAAAGAAGCTCAAATTATTATGCTTTTCAAAACAATCAATTTGACCAATAACCAAAAACTAATTTGTATCAACTCAAATCAATTCATTCATAACAAGTGTACCTATATGTAATAATCTATATTCCAGTTTACTTGACAATAATGAAAATGATACTTTAATATTAAACAATATTCAAATTATAAGCAAAAATACAGGGCCAATAAAATGTTATTAAATACATCGAATATTGAATCTGTTTAGGTGCATTGATACTATGATAGAATGTTGGGCTAGCCACAAGCAACCTAATAAGACAATAAAATATTATAGGTTGGTTAACCAAATTAATTAAAATATGCATTTAATTTTTTTTCTATGGCCCTCATCCTCTTGGTCATAAACGATTTGATATTAATTTATTGTACCTAATAACTAAAAGGATATCTAATCTATTGTCTTCAATATAGACAATTTTAAAATCTGTCAGTAGTAAATGAATATTTATGTACGAGTAGTGTGTCTATAGTTAAGCCGGTTAAGCGCTCTATAATATGCTTCTGTACACGCACTTATATACAGTGGCGGATAGGCCCACCGGGAATTCGGGATTTTCCCGGTTAGGTATGGGGGCCCCCACGCTTTTACAGTTTTATTTTTATGTCCTGTTGGCTGTTGTCAGTTGTCACTTTATTAATTATTATGGACTTGTTTGATTGTCAATTACAGTCAAAACTCTTTATAACGAAACTCTTTACAACGAAAAACTCTATATAACGTAAACATTACATAATAATGGTTGGTTTGCTATATAACCCATTAGACAATTCATTCTCTATAACGTATTAGTCACTCTCAATAACGAAACAATATTTTATGTTTCATAATACAATTTACGTGTTATCGTATCTATTACATATATAAACTATACAAATAATCGGCAATAATGCCGAATAAAAAAGTCCAAACTAAGATGACAGACTATTTTAAATAAGGTATAAATATGTATAGTATAAAAATTAAATTATATTTAATAAGTATGTATAATAATAATAATAATTCAATATAATACGTAAATATATATAAAATAATGTAAAAATAATGATGTGTTTGATATATAATATTACATTGGTACATACCTTTATACATAAATAATTAAAATTTTGTTTTTTTTAAACTCTCTCTATTACGAAAACTCTCTATAACGAAAGAAATCTCTTGGTCCCTTCAGATTCGTTATAAAGAGTTTTGACTGTACTTAATAAATTATTGTATATTATTATATACATTATTTAACTATGAATACCGCTGACAAAAAACGAAAATATAAGTCAGGAACATTGAAACGAAGTAAAAAAAATAGAGAGGCATTACTACAATGTGCAAATGACAAAAATCAAACAAAAATCAATTTTTTTCAGATAATAAATTCCAAAGTAAGTTTATTAATAATTAAAATTAAGTTTCATATTGTTAATAAAACAAAATATTGATTTTTTTATTACATTAATAGGTACTCATAAACAAAATCAATCATATATACATAATATATTACAGTGAATAATACAATAATACAATTGGTACAACTAATTTTCTATTAACATTTAATAATGCCTCGTTAATTTTTACTACATTTAAAAAAAATTGATAATTTATGTATATTATTTTGGTTTGGTTTTATCGATGTACAAGTAGTTAGTTTATTTTTTTATTTTGAACATGTGTTTTTGTTTTTTATTTACTACTATAGTTATGTTAATGTATTAGGTATAGATAAAGAACTTTCCAAAAACACAGTTGATAAATCTATAGCAGAGGTACTCGAATCGGTATTAATCAATGACAATGTAATTGAGAATAATACTGTTTCAAAATCAAATATTAATTGTACAAACAGCTTTTCTAATGTCAAGATAACAGATAATTCTGCAAGTAATTATGGTAAAAATGAATATTACATTGTATATAGGTAACTTATTTTTTATTCAAATTTTAGAATTTGATAATGTTTATTTCAAAAAACCTAATGAAGAGAATTTTGTTGAGTACTGCCTATTTCACCTATGTCAACCAGAAAAAAATATTCCATTCTCATCATTAAAAGCATATATTTTTCGAAAAAACGGAGGAAAGCGAATGTGGGTGTCTTATAATTGCAAAAACTTATAGTTGTATTGTTGTATAATATGTTTGGCGTACGGTGATGGTACTGGTACATTTTCCATTGGTTTGATGAAATGGAAACATGTGTAGTAACGCATTGAAGAGCATAAGGTTACCTTAACTCGTAGACATAATATTGAAGCTCATATAATGAGAAAAAATTGTGATTCCGTTGATTCTCTTATAAAATTATAAAATATGGTCTGAGTTCAGTTAGAAAAAACCAAGTTGAAAATAATAGGATTGTGTTAACTCGCATAATTGAAATTGTAAAACTAATTGCCAAACGTGGTCTTAGTTACTGTGGACAGAAATTTGGAGCTGCTTATACATTAAGTAACAGTAGTTTGGATCACGGTAACTTTTTAGAAATGGTGCTATTAGTGGGTAAGTTTGATCCAGTTTTAAAAGGTCATTTAGACAAAGTTATTAAAAAAAAAGTACAACTATTCACAATTGACAATTCTGGTACAAAACGAGGTGGTGGACTAATAACTTTTTTGTCTAAGACTACTGTAAATTATATTGTTGAAGCATAAAGCCAGATAATCAAATCTATAATTAGCAAAGAAGTAGAAAAAGCTGGAATGTATTCAGTTCAACTAGACACAACACAGGACATAACAGTTATTAACCAATGCTCAATTATTATAAGATATGTTATTGATACCAACATTTATGAAAGATTAATTGCAATGGTCAAATGCACGCCAAATAAAGGCATTGATTTTGTTAATTTACTTCTAAATAATTTTACAAAATTGGGTATTGATTCAAAAAATTGCATTGGAAATTCTACCGATGGAGTTGCCAATATGCAGGGTGCCTGCAATGGATTTTCAAAAAAATTAAATGAAGTTACATTGACACAGACACATATATGGTGTTATGCCCATGGTTGAATCTTGTAATATGTGATATAACTAATAAAATTCTACAAGGTATCAGCTCATTTGGATTGTTAAATAGGTGTGCAGTTTTTTTAAAAGAATCTTACACCCGTATGGATGATGTGTGGACTAACAAAAACACAAAACGAAGAATTTGTTCTATTGGCAAAACAAGATGGTGGTCTAAGAATTCAGCGTTAACCAAATTTTTTGGGTATTTTAATTCTTTTGATAACAGCTTATTTGTTGAACTAGTCACTTCATTAGAGGAGAACTGTAAAAATTCAAAAATTAAACCTGAAGCGCGCTTAAAAGCCATTGGTTTTATTGAAGGACACTGCAAATATGAAACAATTCTAACTGCTCAGATATATTTAAGGATTTTTAATATAACCACTCAACTTTCTAAGTATCTTCAGGGATTTGGTGTTAATTTTGTAGCTGCTTTTCAGATATTGGTAATATAAGTAAAATATATATTTTTTTCAAGTTTTTGTTCATCAGGTTTATAGAACCTAATATTTGTAATTATTTATAATATCTGTATAAGTATAACTTTTCCAGAACGCCGTTGCCGTATCGTAATCGATAACGGGCGTACCAAGTGATGGCAACTGGCAAGTACACTACTGAGCTATAGGTACATTGTGGCACCTTTGCGTTTCTAACAATAATTATTTTATGTAGTACTTTAAGTTAGTCTTCAGCAAATTCGTCTTGGACTTGAGTATTTACGTGTAAATAACTAAATAATTAATACTGTAAGTATATCCTATTTTTATAATT